TTTTTTTTGTTGCAGTTTGGCTGGGCCCGGGTTCGAACCTGCCACCCTCGTATAGGGCTGGTGCCCTACCCACTGAGCCACAGACACCACCCTATTTCAGAGATATTTTTTTGTTGTTGTTGCTGTTGTTGCAGTTGTCATTGTAGTTTAGCTGGCCCAGGCTGGGTTCGAACTCGTCAGCCTTGGTGTATGTGGCCGGTGCTGTAACCACTGTGTTACAGCACAAAGCCCCAGAAATATTTCCTACATGATGCTACTTTTCTACAAATCCCTTATCATTATTTTCAATTAGACTCTAACTACTATTAATGCCCTTGAACCAGACCAATAGCTTCCTAATGCATCTGTTCTTACCTCCTTCTCATCCATCTTTTATAGGCAAAGTGATTTTTTAAAACATAAACCTGACTATATTTTCCCTTTTTTAGAAGTCAACAACATGCCATCATTTCTTAAGTGCAAGAAAATGTATATTCTCTGTTCCACTTACATCAAAATTACTTGGGGTAATTAAAAATGTAGGCTTTAAGGACAGTTCTCATATTGTAAAATGTCTTGTACGATGCTGCATCCTCAGTACATTAACACTCTGACTGGTACTTACTTGGAGTTCAATAAATATTTGTTGAATGAATTATGTAATTCTTGAACTACACTCTAAACCTAAAGAATCAGAATCTGGTTAAAAGAAGTCTATGTTTTTATTAAGCTCCTTCAGTGATTTTTATCCACCCTAAAGTCTAAGAAGCACAAACATAAAGGACAGTGCCCAAATATGGAGAATGGCTTAAACAAGAAGGCCCTTCACAATCTGTGTCCAGATTCATCTTTTGCCACTTGTCACTTGCTTACCCTCTTTGATTCATCAAAAACAGTCTCTGTGAATGACCCCTTTTCCTTCACTAGTTTTATAGTGTATGAGGAAATTATTCTTTATGAAGCTTTGCCAGACATCTCCATTCTATTCTCTTTTCTACGCTCCCACAGCACCCTGCTGTATTTTTGCACTATTCTATCACACCACTTTTGTTTATTTCCATTTTCACACTATGAGTTCTTCAAAGTTAGGAAATGTCTTATCCTTTGTATATAGAGAGTCCAGTACAGTGAGAGTAGGCATTCTCATTTAAAGGTTTGTTGAATGACAGAATGAAAGAATGAATGAAAATGCTAAGAGGCAGAGATTATAGGACTTAAGATATAATTCCAAATCATTGTTATGGCATTTTTTTAGAAATCAGCAAGTCAATGAATATGAATCTGGATGTTCTCTGTTCTCCAGCAATGTTCTGAAAATATGGCCGGAGAACCCCTGAGTGTCTCTGAAATCCTTTCAGGGAATCTCTGAAGTCAAAACTTTTTAAATAATATTGAAATGTTATTTGCCTTTTTTATTCTCATTCTCTCATGAATGTACAGTGGAATTCTAGAGGTTACATGACATGTGGTATCACAACTGATTGAATGCAGAAAGAGATGGGAGAATTCAGCTTTCTTCAATTAAGCCAAATATTAGATGCACAAAATATAAAATAATACCACTCTTGTATTTTTTTAAATGTGTATTTATGTTAATATATAAGTTTATTAATGTTATTTTAAAATGAATTACCCCAGAAGGGTGGTGTGAACTTACAGTCCAAGCTACTTGGAGGCTGAAACAAGAGGAACTCTTGAGACAGGCGTTCAAGACCAGCAAGACCCCAGCTCAAAACAATGAATTAATAAATATTTTTAAAAATTCTTAGTTTTAATTTTTAATATTGTAACCATTAATAGATACAAAATTTCAACAGCTCTTTAAGGTCCTTAATTTTTCAAAATACAAAGCAGACTTTAGATCAAAATGTGTGGGAGCTACTGTCTTTTCACAAACTGGTCAAATTGTACAAACTGGTCTAAAGCAATTGCCCATTCAAATAAAGGAAAAATGTCTGTAACTCAAAGCTTTTTATTTTTTGAGCCTGGGGTCTTACTCTGTCACCCTATCCTGGAATATGGTGGTGATATCATAGTTCGCTGTAGCTTCTAACTCGGGGGCTCAAGCAATCCTCTTTCTCAGCCTACTGAGTAGCTAGGACTAAAAGCACATGCTACAGTGCCAAGGTAATTTTTTAAATGGATTTTGTAGAAAGAGGTCTTGCTATGTTGCTCAGGCAGGCTTCAAGCAATCCTCCAGCCTCAGCCTCCTAAGATGCTGGGATTAAAGGCATGAACCAGCACATCCAGCCTCAAAACTTTATTAGGTTTATTCCCCCCACTACTGAATAGCCAGACATTTTTGAGAATGTGTGTTGATATATTATCCAGCTGTCAAAGTCTGTCAAAATGTCCCATAAAGTTCTTCCTGATTTTTTTTTTTTTTGCAACTGCGTATGCTATTAGCCAGCCTGATCGGTAGAACATTTGTTCACGTCTCTCATGGTTTTGTATTTTAATTATTCATATACTTGTTTTTCCTTATCAGACCACAGAGTCTATGAAAGCACAGTGGCATAAAGTAGAAAGAGAATGTGCTTTGGGGTCTAACATACCTGCGTTTAAGTTCTAGCTTTATGTTACTAACTCTGAGACATCAGAAAAGTTTCTTAAATTCTTAGGGCTCTAGTTGCCTCACATTTTAATGAAGATAACAATAAATGTCCTGTTCTCATCCCCACTAATTAAAAAAAGCTTAGCACAGTACTCAGCATAAAGTAGGCACCTGATTAAATGGTAGCTATTACTATTAAAAATCTGTAAATCTTGTGTTTCTAATCATAATACCTTCAGCAATAAAGGTACTTGATTAATCTCTAAGATTAGATTAATTAAAATCTAACATGTTATAGAACTCTTGAAGCAGAAAGAATATGAAGTTCAAACAAATATCAATCATGGTTATCTACTTTCTTTTTATATTGATGGTCTTTTTGATATAAATCACTAGAATTATTTTCCTTTTCCATTTCTCTGAATCAGTTTTTTTTTCTTTTTAATTTTTGCATTCCTCTTTCTAAAGCTTTCAATAGATTTTTTAAAACTCCTGAGTGTAAGCTATCCTCCATTGTAGCTGGGACTACAGGCACCCACAACACCTGGCAAGCTTTTCTATTTTTAAGTAGAGATGGAGTCTGGCTTTGCTCAGGCTGTTCTGGAACTCCTGAGCTCAGGGAAGCCACCCTTCTGGGCCTTCCAGAGTGCTAGGATTATAGACATGTGACACTACACCCAGCCCCTTGTGATTATTTCTAATTATTTCCCACAACCCTGAAGGGGGATGCTATTTGTGCTATTCTTTCTGAGATTGCTAAAGAGATAATATTCTGTCTTTCAATACTAGCAAAAATATTTATATTTCTTCCATCATAAATAAAGCTATATTTATTTTTAACTTTTACAAATAAAATGTACTCTGCAGTTTCAGCATGATTTATATCTACACTAGATACCAGAGGCTGAAGACATCATCAAACAGACTTTACATATAAAGAATTCCTCAAAGAAGGTGATCAGAATTTATATATGGTTATTGCTGATTTGTGAGACTAGAGACATGTAGAATACTGTCTTTGCCTTATGAACAAAAACTGCTTCAAACTTTCAAGAACCACCATCTGAACTGTTGATGCTAAGAATATTGTTAATTTCAAAATGCTGGTGGATAACAGAAATATTAGTTACTATCCATCAAATAGTAAGAAAAAAGCAACCAAATTCTTTGGGAAACTTCCATTCTTGGTTTTAAGTACTTCCATAACCAAAGCATGTCATTAGTGATAAGAATATTTCTCAAAAATTTAAGTTTGAAAATAATTTCCTCTTCAAGTTCCCAGATTTTCTTCTCATATAAGTCACAAGTCTTCTATTCTCTCCTTCAAATCTCTGAATATTATGACATGAATGTCATATGAGGAAAAAAAGTCTCAATTTTTTTTATCTGTTTCTAAATCTCTTCTCAGCCGGTGCAACTCAGTTATGTCAGCTAGATGGGCAACGATCCCAACCTTGAAAATCCTGAGGAAGATTCCACAACATACCTCAGGCATTTTTCTTAACTACATAGTTTGTATTCTGAAATGGCAGAAATACAGCTGGAACATTGATTTGGTTTTCTTTGTCTAGTCCATATTTTCCAGTCCTTCAGTTCAATTGTGCTGTTTTCAGAAATTCAAACTAACTTTACATACCACCCCAAGGGCAGCCTTTGGGTTACTCTCCTGGAATATCAGGAAACTCCCGTGAAGGGGGAAAGCCAGACAAAGTAACAAGAGTGTCAAATAGAAACGAAGGAAAGCGGTAGAAGAGAATTAAAAACATGTCTCTGTAAAAGAATGGTGCCTGGAAACATAAATTTAAATTGTGATGGGTGCTTCCAAGGTCGAAGAAACAGAGTAAGAGCAGTGACAGAGCAAAGGTGCAGAAATTCTCCACCTGCACAGAGGTTTGCCACCCTGCTCCCCAGCTGATGGTTGGAGGAATCCCCTCTATCCCAGACTAGGACTGCCTGGCCTCTCCCTCTTTTAGAAGTAAGTCACCCCTCTCCCACCTCCTTCTCCCAATGCCCCTTTCCAAGCACGCTCTCACCCACCTCCAAGTACTGTGCCCAGGAAGATGCATTTCTTTTTGTGACGTTTCAGAAAATTCCACATAGATCTCAGCATCTTTAGGCCCTGGGAATGTGGTCTGTCTAAGGGTGAGGGGCTGGTTCACCAGGAAACCGTTTCTTTATCACCCAGCCCTCACGACCTGGCAGGAGTACCGTCGTCCCGCTTGGTGCTCTCCAGAAATCACAAACGCGACTTTCCGCAGAGACTGTCACTGGAGCGGGAAAGGGGCGTGGACTACAGCAGAGCACCTGCGCTCTCCGACCCGCCTCGCTGCCGCCGGCTGCTCACTGGTCCGGAGCGCCCCGGTCCGCTCAAAAAGCGCTCCCGGGTGCTTTGCCATTCGACTCCCCCCGGAAACGATAGCCTGCGCTCGCCGCGTTCCGCTGCCTGCGCTGCTCCGCCGCAGCGGCCTCGCTGAGTGGCGGCCAAGAGCAGTATGGAGGGGAAGGCGACGTCCACGCCGTCTACAGACCGCGCGTGCTCGGTGTCCGCGGAGGAAATCGAAAAGTGGATGGAGGCGGCGATGCACATGGTGAGGAGCCCGGAGGCGGATGCATCGGGCGGGAAGTTTCTCCAGCCCTCACCCAGACCCGGGCTTGTGAGCAAACGTCTCGGTCGCGCTTTCTCGTCACCATAATCTTGATCGCGTTCACATTTTCTGGGGAACAACCGGCTTTACTGTCATGAAGGTTTCTTTAGCCCATTCTCACAATGGCCATGGGGTAAGAAAGAGGAGGAAGTGCAGAAGTTATTGGTTTCATTGGTTTGGAGTGTGCTCCAAACTTGGCCATCCAGACCCTTGCTGCCATGTGCTTCCTCCCTTTCCTTTCGGTTGTCGCACATTCTCAAACCCACACACAAAGTCACGTTATGTGTTTTTGCCTTCTTGAGCAGATCTAGTCGAAGAAAGGAAGAGGAGGATGTTTCTGGTAGAGAGCAGTGTGGAAACTAATCCCTGTACCATCAGCCTCTGTTACTCATTCATTTTCTTCCCTCCGTCCTTTTACTTCGCTCCCTCCCTTCAGGACTGCTGATTAAGGAGCGCTCTTATCAGATAGTGAATAATCCAAACTTTACTTAGATTTATCTTTGCCCGGGAGCCCCTTAATAGGGATTAAAGTTTGGGATGATCTATATGTATGTGAATAAGAATATGCATACAGTAGACACATTTATATGTAGATGTATGCTTGTAATTACCAGGCCAACAGGGAGCACACATAGAGTGGTTGTTCTTTAAGATTATAATGGAGCTGAAAAATTAACATCATAGTGGAATTATTTAATATTCTCTAAGTCTTAGTCTATTGCTTTATTTTTTGTCTTTTGTTTTTATAAGAGACGAGGGCACCGTTTGTTACCCAGGCTGGAGTGCAATGGTGGCGTAGTAGCTTATGCAGCCTCAAACTCCAGGGCTACAGTGATCCTTCTGCCTCAGCCTCCGAGAGGCTGAGACTATTGGTGTGAGTAACCATACCTGGCAACTTTTAAAATATATCCAGTGTGGCCTAAGTATACAGTGTTTACTAATGCTACACTAGTGTACGGGAGTGTCCTAGCCCTTGACATTCACTGTCTGACTCACCTAGAGCTTCCAGTCCTGCAAGTTTCATCTGCTGTAAGTGACCTATACAGGTGTAGCCTTTTTTCTTTTATATGTATTCCTACCTTACCTTTTCTATGTTTAGATATATTTGGATACACAAATGCTTACCATTGTTACAGTTGCCTGCCCTGCAGTATCAGCACAGTAACATGCTGTACAGACTTGTAGACTAGAACAATAGGCTATGCTATTACCATCTAGGCTATACCGGCTACCCTAGGTATGTAGTAGGCTATACCATCTAGGTTTGTGTAAGGACATTCATTCTCTGATGTTCACACAGTGATGACAAATTTCTCCAATGTATCCCCATGGTTATGTGATACATGACTGTATACATACATATATATTATATATATATATATGCACACACACATGAAATGCCCTTCAAGTTTTCATTCTTTGATACTTCTGTAAATAAAAACTTTTTTAGACATGTTTTTGATTATATTCCTCTATCCTTAATGGTACCTGGTATCTTATACTTAATTAATTCCATAATATTCATTCATTCCACAAATGTTTATTGAGCGCACTGTGCTTGACATTGGGAATTCATTGTGAAAACTGCTTTTGCCATATTCTACTGTTTAAACTCTACATTATTTCCCATGCATTCATTCACCATTACAACCAAACATTTTGGTTTATGTAAGCCACAATGCATTAGAACATTTATCCATTATTCCATTGTTTCTGTTACTTATATAATATTCTCTGTTTTTTGTTTTGTTTTTTTTTTGAGACAGAGTCTTACTCTATTGCTCTAGGCTAGAGCGCCATGGCGACAACCTAGCTCTTAGCTACCTCAGACTCCTGGAGTCAAGAGATCCTCTTCCCTCATTCTCCCAAGTAGCCACAATGCCTGGCTAGTTTTTTTCTATTATTAGTAGAGAGGGGTCTCACTCTTGCTCAGGCTGGTCTCAAATGCCTGTTACTTACATAATGTTATCTTAAACTTGCTTATAATAGTTTTTTTGAAGTGACCCACAAATATAAAAATATCTATTTCATATTATAACCCAGGAAACATACATATATGTAATCTAAACAAAAGTTCCCAAAATAATAGATACCCTTCTTATGTACAGTTTGCCTGGTATTTCTGCATTTAAAAAAATGCTGGTCATGATTCATTAACTTGATATCATGACCCATTCTTTAATCCCACTTCCAAATTTATTTTTTCCATTAAATTTATAGGGTATATAACTTGGCATCTGATAATTTGAAAAAAAAGTTCACATGTACATTTTAGAAATTAATTCGTAATTGGATTTATGAGTCCCGAACTCTTTTATCTTACTAAATTCTCCATGTTGGAGACAAGGAGTTTTTATGTGATATCAAAATTTTATCTTCCTTCCTCCAAATCATTTTCCTTTTTTTAGGTTAGTCAGGTGAAACAGTGGGGGTAGAGAAGGAACTGGTTGTGATCAGTTGGTTGTAAACACCAGTGCACTCAGACCCGCCAGCCAAACCATTTCAGTAATATCATTTGCTAGGCAGTTTATTAGTAGTGATAATGATAAACTAATAATAATGCAAGATCTTAGTCAAGATATAGCGTTTTCTTTCCATCCTTTTGTATAATATTTCAGATTATATTATAGAACTATTTTCTATAGGACCATGAGACAAGATGCTTAGAGGAAAATAAAGATTTGAAATATTCATTTCAGAATATTCATGAAACATTCACGAAACATTCCTTCACCCACCTCTGCACTGTTGTCCCTCCCCTCTGCTTCTCTCCCCTCCCCTCCCCTCCCTTTTTCTTCCTTCCTGGTATCTCACTCTGTCACCTAGGCTAGGGTGTAGTGGTCCAGGCTCACTGCAGCCTCCAACTCCTGGCCTCAAGTGACCCTTCTGCCTTGGTCTCCTGAGTAGCTGGGACTATATACCACCATGCCCAACTAATGTATTTATTTATTTATTTTTTATAAAGACAGAGTCTTGCTATTTTGCCAAGGTTGTTCTCAAACTTCTGGCCTCAAGAAATTCTCCTGCCTGGGCATCTCAAAACACTGGAATTATAGGCGTGGGCCGCCCACCTGGTATACACTATTTTCTCTGTAGTCTTCTGGACTAAACACTTTCCATTTGCTACCTTTTAGAGTGGCCCTGGGCAAATCACTTCATTCCCCCTAGGGCTTTGCTTTCTAACTTTCTAAATGGGATGATAGAACTCCAAAGAATTTCTAAGATCCCTCTGGCCTTGACTTTTTTTTGGTTTTTGTCTCGTAATTGGATTATAAACACCAAGGGGTGTGATTACACAGTTTCCCTCCCAGACTAGGTTAAGGAGGCCCTTTGCAGCTGTCTTTTTTTTTGGCTTTGGCCTATACTTGTGTCTTCCAGGCCTTAAACAAAGGGAAAAAAGTGCTTACCGTGAATTTTGTGCTTTGTTTAACCATCACCAACTCGGCTAAAGCAACTTACTTCAGCTGGTCAGCCTGGTAAGGTGGCCCATGCCTGTAATCCTAGCGCTTTGGGAGGCTGAGACAGGTAGATTTCTTGAGCTCAGGAGTTCTGTACCAACCTGGGCAAGAGCAAGATCCAATTTCTATTATATTAAAAAAGAAAAAGACAAGAAACTTCAAATCTTAAATTACTTAGAAGAATTACCTTTGAGAAGAGTTTAAGGTTAGACCAAAAGTGTAAATTTGGAAATAGCAAGTTGATTTCTGCTTAATTTGCACTGAAATTAGAAAGTGAAACCTATAGTATTATATGTAAAAAAGAAGATACTAACATTCTTAGCATAGAGACCGAATAGACATAGTATTTACAATGTGGCCAATACAAATATCTAGAAAAGGACAGATTTAAGAACCTTAAATTTATTTCCATAGTATATAATTTACATAAAACTTATATACTTTCCAAAGTAAAAGAGAAGGTATTAGTACCCTAATACTGAAAAGGTCAGAGGATAGGAACATGATTTTCTGAAAGAAATAAAAAGTAGCCAACAGATAAGTGAGCAAATGCGCACTTTCCCTAGTAATAAATTTCACACTAAAAAGAGATACAATTTTTCCCCTCTTAAACTGGCAATAGTGTGTGTTTGCACACATGCAAGGAATTGGTTGGTTGGTGGCTGAAATGATGGTACCTTTTTTTATATGCAGTCTGTCTCTGCAGATGTAAGAAGCCTTAAAACTGAGCTTATCCTTGACCCAGTAATACCATTTTTTTCTAAAAGGAAAGTATTTTACATAATGTTTTTTTCTCATTATATAAACAATTCATCGTCGTAAGAAACTCATGCTATAAAAAAGAGTTAACAAATGACGTACAAATGACCGAGAAGTCCCTTTGTTAGAGGTGATGCTGTGAACATTTGGAAGCATCCTTCTCTCAACAGATGTAAATAGCCACGTATACTTTTGCATAAATGGACATATATATATTGATTATTATTAGTACCTTTTTATGGGTAGTCTTAAATATTTTTATTTTGAATTATTGAATTGAGCACAATAACATCACCAGAATATAAAGTGCCCTGCTCCCACCTCTTTAGTATTTGGCAATGTGATAAGTGAGAAGTAACTCTGTTACTTTTCTTTTGTTATTTGATAAAGTTAGCAAATTTTAAATAAGATCATCAACTTTATTTTTTTGTGTGTGATAAAACCATCATTTTCTATGACAGCTTTCTAGCTAAGTACAGCATCATCATAAGTTATTTTAATCATCCTAGCCTGCTTAGCATAGCATTCTAAGATACAGGTTTGGGAAAAAAAGGCCAGTGGCTTGTAACCACTGTGCTGTGCAGTGTTAAATGATGCTGCAGTGCTGTGCACGGAGTTAGATGATGCCGCAGTGCTGTGCACGGAGTTAGATGATGCCGCAGTGCTGTGCACGGTGTTAGATGATGCCGCAGTGCTGTGCACGGAGTTCGATGATGCCGCAGTGCT